ACACACCCCCCTCCCAAACCCAGGCCTTTCTAAGCCTTTTTGATTATGGACACAAGGCTTTTTCGATTATGCATGCTTTAGCAATAAAAATTTTATCTTGTAACCCCAGAGTGCTCCTGTTTATTAAGTCATATGCTTGTGTATCTTCAGTCCACATGCTAAATATTAAACATTCCCTTTTCTAGACACTTGAAATGGAAGCTCTAGCATGTTCCTCTGGCCTCCAGAGGAGGTCTCTGCTGGGGCAATGACTGGAAGCTTGGCAGAGGGAGGTCCCCTTCCTGTCGTGAGCGCAGGGCAGAGAACAGAGAGCCATGAAGCTGGGGGTCTGGCCTCTGAGGCCGCAGGCCCCAGTACATGGCTAAGTGTGACATTTGGTCTGGGCAGCTGACTCCAAACTGTGTGGCTCCTTCTGGGTAAGCCAGAGTTCTCTAGAAGTAGGAAGGGAAGGAAGAAGGAAGGGGAAAATGGCCAGTGGCCAGACAGCGAGCACCCCTCCCCTCTTCCTGGCGGCATGATGAAGGTCAGCACCAACCCCAAAGATGGTGCCCTTAGAAGTGGCGTCACAGAGCCTCGCTGGGGTGCTCCTTGGGCCTTGGGATGGCAGATGTCCAAGCTAGAAGGGGCACCATCCCATGGCCTCAACCCACAGCTGGATTTACAGGCTCAGAAAGGCTACAGTCCCCTCCTAATGTTCATGTTGGGTTAGGGGCAGGGCCAGGGGTAGGACTCATCCCTTTCTCTAAGCCTGCCCTCACTCTGGCCACCTGGAGGCCCCAAAGGGAGGCCAGAGATGGTGCTGTGATCCCAGTATAAACCACGGAGTGGAGTCCAGGGGCGAGAGATGCCACAATACTGGCAAAGGTCGTCCCAAGGGAAGGTCACGGCCCACCCACACTCCCACTCAAGAGCCAGCCGGGGCAAGGGCCTAGTCCCCCACCAGTCGGAGAGGAAAAGGATACAGCAGACAGGGAGGCAGGCCAAGGACAGACAGCATCCCAGTGGAGCAGACACCGGGCCCCTCCCTTCTTCACAGCCGCACCCTCCACTTCAGCCAGGCAGGACCCTGAGCTGCCTCCCAGGCTCCAGGCTCGGCCCTCCAGGGACCAGTTCCCAAACACTCTCAAAGCTAGGGTTTTACCCAAATCTGCCATGTGCGGAGGTCCCCCCTGGAGCTGCGAAGATGATACCCTGGACCCCAGAGTCAGCCTGGAAAGACTGACCTGGGCTTGTGGGGGCTGAAGACTGTCTCCAGCCAAAATCCCAGGGCCTCTGGAGTCTAGGGTCCCCAGATTTCATCCCAGAAGTGCCCCACTCCCCAAGGCTGCCACCACTCCGCCTTCCGATCTGACCACAAAGGCCTCTGAACTGAGCCTGCCTCCCTCAGGCCTAGACTCACTCCTGAGAGCCTGGCTGGGCTCCATGATGCCCTTGGGGCCTGGCTCACACCCCTGCCTGCATCCCAGCTCTCAACAGTAATTGTCAAGGCTGGCTCTTCCCTTGATCCTTAGAAAGGCTGAGTATCATGGAGCCAATACAGCAGCCAAAGCACAAATGATCCTTCACCCAGCCAGGCAAGGGCCTGCAGGGAAGACGGGACATATAGGGGACCAGAGAGCTGTAAACACCAGCGATCCTGGGGTGGCTCCTGCAGAGGCCAAGTTGGTAGCTCCGAGTCCCAGCCAAGAGCTCATGGTCTTCCCAAGGCACGACAGCCAGTCCCAGGAACTCTGGGCCCTGTGAGCCATCTCCTCGCCCTTGATCTTCAGACAGTCAAAGGAGGCACCATTCAGATCCAGCAGGCTTGACCTAGACAGTGGGCCCACCTCCCAGCCACCGCCCTCTGCCTTTGTGACGTCAGAGCCTGGTGGGGCCAGGGCGCGGCAGCGCTTGGACCCTTCTAGGTGAGGTTACTGTGTGCCCTGAGCTCGAGAGGCAAAGGAATGGCCTCCTAAACAGAAAGAGGCCAAGGGGGAAGACCCTTGGGGCGGGGCGGAGGGGAGACCCACACTTCTACCCTGATGCCCTGCAGCTGATTCACTCCTGATACTAATGGGACGGCACCTCCCCCATCACAGGCACCCTTGACCAGCCTCCAACGACAGGTACACAAGACCCACTCTGCACACAACCCTGGGAGAAAGACCACAGGAAATCTCTCGTCCATCTTAAAATTTAGGTATCATCAGTTAAGCACCGAGAAAGGGTCCTCAGAACTCTACAGCCCTGCAAACAAGAAGATACCTCTGTGGAAGCCACCCCTGCCAGGTTCCGGAAGCCGGGCCTGATGAAAATCCAGCTTCATCCCAGCCTCTTCCTCATCCCCCAGACTCTGCCCAAGCTGTAGCCCTAGGCACACACCAGCAAGAGCTTCAGGCTGATCAAAGGCTGGAGGACCCCTCGACTCCACATCTGTGAGGGTACCAGAAATCTGAAGTACACGCTGTCTTCTGGCCAAGCCCCGGCTCCCACTCAATCCCCCTTCCCAGGTCATGTTGAAGGAGGATCTTGCCCTGTAGTGAGAGCTTCTGTCTGCCCCCAGGGCCCTCCTCCAGCCTGCTCAGGCTGCTGGGCAGAAGGGAACCCCCCAGCCCTCCCCCCCACCCCCCGCCGCCTCCGTGTTGGGACAGACAGAGACACAAGCCTGGCTCACCAGTGGGGCTACGTGCTCCAAGGAACATTACTTGGCCACTCCGAGCCTCCATCCTCTCGGGTAAAATAGGAACCAATGACATCTGCTTCCCAGGCTGATCATGATCTCCCCTGCCTCTGGGCTAGAAGACGAGGCCCTTCCCCGAGTTCAGTCAATGCCAGCCGTAGATATAACAGGGCACTGGGGAAAAGGCGGGGTGAGGAAGGGTCATCAGACCCATGACCTCTGACCCGCCTCCCCACCTGTCACTCTGTGCAGCTCCTGAGGGAGCCCAGTTCCCAGGCTCTTAGGTGTCGGGTGGATTTAAGGAAAGGAGTCCCGGAGGCAGAGCCTTGAAACAAGGATGGGGACACACACGGTCCCCCATTCCACTCCCTGCTCACTGACATCCTGTATGTCCTACTGGGGTCCTCCAACAGCCAAGGGGACAAGAGACCGCCCCATCCCCACCCACCAGCCACCTTTCTGGCACCTCCATCTTGGACCGTTTGCCTGGAAAGAGCAACCCAACTCTCCCCGCTCAAACTGCTTCCCCAAGCATCGTTTTCAAAGGCGCGACACCTCTGCCTGGCTACAGAAGAGAGTACGTGATTGTGGCCAGCCCTGCCTCCCGCTGGCTTCCTACAGACACACATGTCCTCGAAGCAGAGAACAAGCCGAATGAGGCTCCCTAGCTCCCAGAGATGCACACCAGGCACCTTCTCTCCAACCCTTGACCCGCCAATCCCCGTGCAAATCCCTAGGTCCAGCTCCTGAGCCCCAGGATCCACTGCTAAGCTCTCCCCACCCCACCCCCACAGCCCTGATGGTGCACTTCCCAGCCCAGCCAGAGTTTCTCTGCCGATCCCACTCCGGAGCCTCCTCCAGGCATCCTGGGGGTGCTGGAATGCTGTGGCCTGCAGAGCAGCAGAGGCAGAGTTGGGTCCATCCTGCTTAGCCCCTGCTCCCCTCCACCCCCCCCCATCCCTCCGACCCCCACCATCCCAGGTCCACTCCTTGAAGGTAGTGAGGGCCTGAGTGGCAAAGCCAAGATGTGGGTCAAGCTGGTCTCCTGGACCAGGAATCAGAGACACCTCCTGGGCCATATACTTCCTCAAACTGTTAGCTGCAAGAACAGGAGCACACTCTCCACAAAGCCAATGGGGCTGGCGGGCTTTCCTGGGAGAGCAGGGCTGCAATCGCTCCCAGCCTGGCCGCCCCATCAGGTCTTGAAGCCCAAATGCCTTCCTCAGGCCCCAGCCAGGACCTCAGCGTGAGCCCTTTTTGGCTTCCTACCCACTCCGAGGGACCCCAAGGGGTGTGGACCTTGGAATGGGGTAAGAGAGCTATCCCCTGGACAACCCCAGTGCCGTCCACACCCTTCTCTGGATGTCAGAATGGGGGGGGGGGAGGGGTGTCACCTGACCCTGAGGTCAGTGGAAGAAAAAATGGCCAGCCTCCCCGGACCCTGAGCTCTTCTTTCTCTCGACTCACAGTTCTCTCCCCTATCCCTACCCAAGGTAGGGGAGGGAGGGGCGGGAAATGCAGGCCACCCCAGGTCTCACTCAGGCGGGGCAGAACCAAGCAAAACGCCAGTCAGAGTTGGATTCTCCCGAAATACGGATCTGCAAGATGATATAACCCCCCGGCCCCAAAATGCGCCAGCCCCCTGTGCTCCGCTCTCCATCCTGACTCGGAATTAACGGAGGGAGCAGTCGTCAAAGCTCCCAAGGACGGGATCCGTAGGCGCCCAGATGCAGATGACGGTGGGAGAGGCGGGGGGTGTCTCGGAAATGCCCAAAATGGGGTTGGAGAGGGCGGGCGAGAGGGAGAGGGAAGAGGTAGGCGTCCATGACGGCCTCGACATGTCCAAAGTCTCCCCGCGAGCAGCCAGCTCCCAACTTGTTTACTTGTCAGCGCGCTTTGCTGTTTCCAAAAGGAAATAGTTAAACATCTCGGCCGGATGGCGAGCAGTCCCCGTCACCCTCCCTCCCGGCTCAGCGCCGCCACCGCCGCCGGGAATCGAACCTCGCCTACTTTATGCCACTCGAGCGTGGCCAAACTGTTGCTGTTCAGCGGGGGGCCAGGAGCCCGGCTCGGCGAGCCACAGCGGGCGGGGGCGGGCGCGGGGGCCGGGCCCCGCACGCCCTCGGCCGGCCGGGGTCCCCTCCCGGGAGAGGCGCGCGCGCGAGCCCCGGCTCCCGCGCGCCAGGGCCGGATCACCTGGACTCCGCCGCCCGGGAGCATCTCCCGAGCCCCGGCGAGCCTGACGCGCGCCCGGCGGGCAGCGGCGAGCCGGGGCGGGCGGGCGCGGGGGAGCCGCGGGGCGAGAGGGGAGGCGGGCTGGGGGAGCTGCCGCCCGACTTACATGGAAGTGATATTCCTGGAGATGTCTGTGATGTTGATGCTGGCGTTCCCATTGCTGTTCCCTGAATCCTGCCCTTCCAGGAGGGGGAAGAGGTTCCCGTCGTCCGGCCGCCGGCAATTGATCTCAGTCTTGCTGCAGACACAATTTGCAGGGCAAGCCAGCACGGAGCCCACATAGTCCAGCCAGACGCTTCCCAGCAAGAAAATCCGCCAGAAACTACACTTGGCTGGGCAAAGAGAGACATCCATCTCCGATCGCGGCTTCTAAAAAAGAGGAGGAGGAGAGGAGAGGGGGGTGGGGTGGGGGGAGTGGGGAGAGCTGGGGGGGGAAGGAAACAAAGACGGCGAGGGAGGGGGGAAGGGGGAGGGGGGGCCTCTGCCTTTGAAACGCCGTGCGATCAGATGCAAAATCCTTCAGCGTCTGAAACCATCGCTGCCGCCGCCGCCGCCGCCGCCGCCGCCGGGTGGGAGCCGCGGGGAGCGCCTAGTGGCGCGGTCTGCCTGGCATGGTGGCCGGCTCGGCGCTCGCCGGCTCGCCGGGTCCGGGGGCTCGGGAAGCGAGCCGCGCTCTCCGACTCCGAGACTTTGCAGGGTTGCAACAGACGGTGGGAAGGCAAAAAAGAAAAAGAAGGGGGGAAAAAAAAAAAAGGAAAGGAAAAATATGGTGCCAAAGTCACCAAGTCCCACCTACTGGGCAGAATTAAAACGGACACACCTGCAAAACACACACACACACAGACACTCGCACATACACACACCCGGAGCCCGGGGGAAGGAGGAGGAGGAAGATGCAGTCGGAGCTGCAGCAGCCGCCGCGAATGGCTCGCCGCGCGCCTGCAGAAATGTACAAGTGCTCAGAGCCTTACGAAACGCACGGGTTATCGGAGCGTCTTCCTCGGCTCGCTCCCTCCCTCTCCTCCCCTCCCTCCTCCCCTCCCTCCTCGCGGCCTCCTCCCCCCGCCCCCCGCCCCGGCTGGGAGCGGCAGAAGAGCGGAATCTCCCCCCTCCCTGCTCTCCCCCTCCCCTTCCCCACACCCCACTCCCTCCCCGCCCGTCCTCTCCCCTCCTCCCTCCCCACCCACCCACCCACTCGCCGGCTCGCGGCTCTCGCCCGCACCGCCACCCGCAGCCGCGCGGCCGCCCGTCCGCTCCACGCCTCGCGGCCCCGGCGCCCGCTCGCCGCGGCCAAGGGGAAACCGAGACGGAAGGGAAAAAGTTGCAGTTGGGATTGAGAGGGTCTGGGCTGGGGAGGGGGAGTTAGCGAGCTGGCTGCGCGACGCCGAAAGGCGCTCTCCTTTCCACTTTTTGGCCCTCGCGCTGCCCGGTGTTTTGCTGCAATCCGGACCGCGAGAGGAAGTGAAACGGACGCAGCCGAGGTGACCGGGGAGTGCTCCCGAGCCTGGGTGGGGGGCACAGGCCCGGAGACGGCGACGGGGGCGGGGGGCGCGGGAGCGCACTGGAGCCGCAGAGAAGCACCCAGAGCCGGGGGCTGGGGGCCGCGGATGCGCGGTCCTCTGTCTACATGACACTTATTTCCGTGATCGAGAGTCCGCGAGCTGGGCTCGGCTGGGAGGGCACGGCGGGGCACGGCGGGGTTGGTGCCCCCGCACCCCTGCGCCTTCTCGGCGGTGGGCTTTGCATTCAGCGTGGGGCGGGGAGGGATGGAACCCGCGCCCCAGGGGCTGCGCTGCGGAGCCGAGGTGGCCCCGGGCGAGCCGCGCGTGCGAGAGAAAACGGCCAGGGAAATTGAGATGCAAGGGGCATTTTTTGGCAAGCAGATCGGCACCGTTAGAGGCCGGCTTTTTGGGCTCGGCTCTCGGGTGCCCTGCTCTGACTGCCCGGTGAGGGGGCGGACGGGCTGCTTTCTCCGGATTCGGGGGCGCAGAACCTCCCTCCTTCCCTCCCACACAAGCACCCCTTCCGGGTAGGGGCGCAGAGCAGGTGCAGCCTTCGACGCGAGCTCAGATCCCACCGGGAGAAGAGAAGGGACCCTGCTTTTTGCCTGGGTAGGGCTTTTTTTTTTTTTTAATAAAACGTCAAAATGCCAAGTGTGAGCTGTTTGCCGAGAAAACCAGAGCATTCGCTGTGGGAAAGGAAAAGAAAGGGTTAGGGAAGTCCGAGCAGGCAGACACACTACAGCATTCACACGCAGAAGAAAGCTGGGCTCTCCTCCCCGGTCTTGGATGAGGGCAGGCGACGAAGCGAATACGCTGAATTCAACTGCATCCAGCGTCTGAAAGGCTTCTCCCCCGCCCCCCTATGGATTCCGATGCAGGTCATGCAACTTGCAGGCAAGATGGGGGAAGGGGTATGCGGGTGCCACCCGCCCACCCCAGGCGCAACCACAGACAGACCAGGCGCCTGCGAGTGGCACTGTCGCTGTGAGTAAACTTGGAAGAGAAAAAAAAAAAGGAAAGAAAGGAACATGTCTATAAAAGGCAGTTTTCCCTACTTCCCCTGACGTTCTGCGTTCCCTCGGCCTCGGTGAGACTTTTACCCCCTTGTTGCCATTAGAGCCTTGTCCCCAGATTGGCATTTTGCCCTCCCACCAGCAGGAGGGGACAGAGAGTGGAGACCTCCTTAGTCTGGCAGACCAGTTCCTACTGGCCGTAGGCCAAACCCCTGATACCCTTGGTCCGCTGGGAACCTCCCTGCCCTTAAAGTCCTATTCTGGGAGCCGCAGGAGAATATCTGAGAGCCTGGGCAACTGAGGCAGAACCAAAGTTGGGCCTCAGGACGTAGCAGGTGGCAGCAGAGACAGACAGAGAACCTTTCTCAGACCACCCCAGGGGAGATTCCAAAAAGCAGAGACCGCCAAATGGATTGCGCCCAGCAGGACTTCTCCAGCCTGTAACTGAATATAGTTGTACCTAAACAATGGCTGGCACACTTTTTGGGGAGAGAGAGATGATTTTTACCACTTGCAGCAGAAAAGGGGAGGTGTCCGTAAGTCAGAACAAATAAAAAAAAAACTTTTAAAACCCCCTTGGAGATGATAAAAATGCAGGCTGTGAAGCTAGGGGCCCTGATGGAACAAGAAGCCTTTCATCCTAACAGTAAAATGGGATTAAGATGGGATGTTCTGTTTATCCTGGAGCCTTGGGCCTGAGCAGGAAGTGGCCGCTTCAAAGGAAGGCCCTTTTTAAAGCAGATGATAGACCAGGAGTAGAGAGAGCAGAGTTCCAGTTCTGACCACCGGCAAATCAGCCAAGCCTCTGGGCCTCAGCTTTCGTATCTGTAGAATGACTAAGTTGCACCTTGCTATCCGAGGTGTGACCCTCTGGACAGCAGTGTCCGCATCGCCTGGAAGTTCTTTGAATGCAGCACCTAAGGCCCCCACCCCAGACCTACTAAACCAGAAAATCCATTCGAGCCAGCTCCTGAGGCGGTTGGCAAGCACGTTGCAGTTTGAAAAGTACAAAGATGACTTCCAAAGTCCCTTTCAGCCTAAATATCCTCTGATTCTCCATGGACCTGGGCTGGAGAGACGTGAGAAAAGAGACCAGTGGTGCGGATTCTCAGAATATTATTCAATTAGGGTGGGAAGGAAAAAAAAAAAACAGTATTTCAGATGCCGAGGCCTTGGTAAGTACAAACTTAGGAAGTTTCACTGTAAGTTCAAGAAGTTGCTCACCTCACCCAGGGATATAATACGCTCTTGCTGCAATACTTCTTCACCCCTGAGATAAACTAGATTTAGTTGAGGAAGCAGGAGAAGGTGTCCATTGGAGACACCCTCCTCTTGGTCAATAGGGATCCAGGGCATTTGGGGTGTCTTGTCTCCTTGGTAAGGATGTCTTGGTTCACAAGGAATAATGCCCGACACCTAGTGATTCTCAGTCTGCAGCCACCACTGCGTCCCGGAGATCAGGACCCAGCTCAGCATCCTGCCGATTGGGATAATCCTTCCCATCTCTTCCTGCAGCTGCAGTCTTGGAAATGAGGAAACTTAGCAGTGTAGCCCCAGTTGAACCATCAGAGAGGCCACAGTGGGCAAAAAAAAAAAAATTTTTTTTTTAACAGTAAAGCTTTAGATGGGGCACCTGGGTGGCCCTGCCAGTTGAGCAAATGACTCTTGGTTTCAGCTTAGGTTGTGATCCCAGGGTTGTGGGATCGAGCCCCACGTTGGGCTCTGCACTGAGCATGGATCCTGCTTAAGAGTCTCTCTCTTTCCCCCTCTGTGCCTCTCCCCTGGTCTCACTCTCTTGTGCTCTCCCTCTATAAAATAAAAAGAAATGTTTTTGGAAGGAAAGTTTTAGAAACCCTTTACACTGGAGCAGCTCCCTGTTGGTAGCTAGGATTTAGAGAAGGTGGGAACCCAAGATTTGGATGTGGTCCCCCATCAGGCCACGGGGGAGGCCACCTCCTAGAGCACAGTGGTCCGACATCCCTGCGACCCAAAGAAAACTGAACACCTGTCTCACTCCAAGGGGCCCGTTCCAGCTGTGTGAGCACCTGAGATTCCTCCTTGACTATTTGTTTATCAGGTACCCCCAAAGCCACAACCCCTTGCCATCTAGGAAAGGAAGAAGGGAGGGAAGACTCAGTAGACACACAAACGTAAGAAGCTGACCCAGGAGTCGTCCCCTCCCAGTGCCCACCCCCCCATTCCAGACCTCTGCTGGCCCACCCTTCGTATATCTGCCTTTCTAAACCCAGCCACATTTGCTTTTCCATGAACCCACGCTCCAAAAGCAGTGGCCATGTCAGGGATGCAGGCCAGACGCCAGGCACTTTGGACTCACCCACCACGCCCTACTCCCACGGTGTCAGCCTGAATCCAGGAGCTGTGCTGCCAGACTTTTCCAGTCTGAGCAGAAATGGGACCTACTGCCTGAACTCTGAGCTGGGAAAGGAAAGGTCACACTGGCAGTGACTAGGAGAGCACCAGAGGAGACGGAGGGAAAACTGTGCCCTGAAGAACCTGCTATTCCAAAGGGCTATTGGAGCTAGTCAACTTGGACTTGGGTGTGAGAAAGAAGCCTGTTTCCTGGGTGACCCAAACTCAAGATATGAGGGGGAAAGGCATGGTGGGAGGCTGGGGACATGTAATGGTATCCAGAAGGCCAGGTGCCAAGGAGGGAGTTTTGATCATACATGGAGGGTGAAAGCCCCACTGACCCCATGATGTCAAAGGAAACAGGAAAATCTAACAACGGGATGCCCCAGCTCAGGACCCTGACTCAAGTCCCAGGGCCTTGGGCATGCACCTGCCAGGAAGTTGGAGCTACCTCCAGGGGGGCACAGAG